CCTTACCTTTCAAATGACAATTTTCAAAACAATTGTCTCAGTTACCGTTTCTATTGCTGTGAAGAGACACCATGTTCATGGCAACTCTTTTTTTTTTTTTTTAGATTGATTTATTTATTATGTATACAGTGTTCTGCCTGCACGCATCTCTGCAGGCCAGAAGAGGGCACGAGATCTCATTACAGATGGTTGTGAGCCGCCATGTGGTTGCTGGGAATTGAACTCAAGACCTTTGGAAGAGCAGCCAGTGCTCTTAACTTCTGAGCCATCTCTCCAGCCCCATGGCAACTCTTACAAAGAAAAACATTTAATTAGGGTGGCTCACTTATAGTTTCAGAGGTTCAGTCCATTATCATCATGGTGGGACACGGCAGTGTGCAGGCAGACCTGGGGCTGGAGCAGTAGCTGAGAGTTCTACATTCTTGCAGGCAACAGGAAGTGGTCTGAGGGTCTTCACTGAGCAAAGCTTGAACAAAAGAGACCTCAAAGCCCACCCCCACAGTGACAACATTGTGGTGATATATTGAGTACCCTAATAAACTTATCTGGGGATCAGAGGACAGAGCCAGCCACTAGATTAGACATAGAGGTCAGGCAGTGGTGGCACACACCTTTAATCCCAGTACTGGGAAGCACACACACGCCTTTAATCCCAGGAAGTGATGTCTGGGCAGAGAAAGATAAATAAGGCATGAGCAAACAGGAACTCACTCTCTTTAGGCTGAGGATTTCGTAGAGGTAAGAGCTAGTGGCTGGCTGCTCTGCTTCTCTGGTCTTTCAGCTTTCACCCTAACATCTGGCTCTGGGTTTTTTATTATAAGACCATCTAAGATTCGAACAACAACACACTTCCTACAACAAAGCCTTGTCTCCTAATAGTGCCACTCCTATGAGCTTAACGGGGCCAACTGCATTCAAACTACCACAGCAGTCTTTATAGTTCCTGGACCTTTCTATTCCCTCTCTCCCTCTATGTATGTGTATGTGTGTGTGAGGTATGTGAATGCATGTATGTAGGCATGTTCATACATGTGAATGCGCGCGTGTGTATGTGCGCGCGCGCGCGTGTGCATGTACACGCCCTAACTTTGGCTTTGGATGACTTCCTGCATTACTCCTTACTATATTTCCCGAGGCAAGGTCTCTGGCTGAATCCAGAAGTTGCCAATTTGGTTAGTCTAGCTAGCCAGCTTTCCCTGTGGCCCCTGCCTCTGCCCACCAAGGGCGTGAGTTACAGGAAGCCCCCTCACATTCCTGTATTTTGTATCAGATCTGGGGAGGCAAACTCCAGCCTCACACTTGTCCAGTCAGTGCTCTATCCACTGAGCCGTCTCCCCAGCCCATCTAGTCTTTAACATGTGGAGTCAACCTCATTGAGCTCTGGCATAATCTTGCTTACATCATCAGTGCCCTTGGAGAAAAACACCTTCCTGTAGCCTTGATCTTGTTTGAACCTCTTCTCTGTGTGTGCATGGGACGCTCTCTCTTCCCTAACCCCTTTCTCAACTTGTATCTTACTTTTTCTCTTTCGGTTGTATCTTAGGCCGGCTCCTCTTGGGGCACACAGATAAGGACTGGTGGAGGGCAGTTCCTTTAAAAGGAAATCCCAAGAAACACTCTCAGTTCACATCTCAGGCGGGGCTCCCCTAAGCAGATAAAGATGGCGTGCAAGCAGTGTCTTTGCAAGGCAAGCGGGGAGGGACCCAGGGAAAGGAAGGCACCACGGGGCTATTGTCCTGGGCTCTATTTCCATTAAGGAACCTTAGGGAGACCATTGAATATCTATTTCCAAGTCATTCTGTAGAGGAATAATAAGCTAGGGTATTTGTCCACTGTTGGGGAGGAAAAGCCTCTCAGGTTTAGTGAGTGGGTGTGAATATTGCCACCAATTTGACGATAGGAAAGAAGTGTATTTTTATGTATATGAATGCACAAAAGAAGCAACTCCTTAAACAGCCAAAGATAAAGACTTACATAAATGTAGCTTAACAGCCGGGAGTTGGACATGGTGTCACATGCCTGCTAGTCCGGCACTTGGGAGCAGAGAGGCTACAGGAGTCAAATAGACGCAAGGAGTAAAATGGCTTCTGGGAGAACAAATGAGTTTTAGGGGGACAAAGTGGAGACAAAAAAGTTCGTGATATTCTTGTTTGTGCAGGTATGAGAATGTCGTCTCCTCATCTTCTTTTTTAAAAATTGCATTTGCATTTCATGTATGTGGGTGCTGTCCTCAGAGGCCAGAAGAGGTTGTGAGCTGCCATGTGGGTGCTGGGAATCAAACCAGGGTCCCTGTGCTCTTAATTTGTTAAGCCATCTTCCCAGCCCTTCTGTTGTGTGTGTGTGTGTTTTTTTTTAAGATTTATTTATTTATTATGTATACAGTGTTCTGCCTGCTTGTATCCCTGAAGGCCAGAAGAGGGCACCAGATCTCATTACCGATGGTTGTGAGCCACCATGTGGTTGCTGGGAATTGAACTCAGGACCTCTGGAAGAGCAGTCAGTGCTCTTAACCTCTGAGCCATCTCTCCAGTCCCTCTGTTGTGTTTTTTTAAGACAGTCTCATACTACAGTCCAGGATAGCCTTGAACTAAGCATTCCTCTTGCCTCAGCCTCCCAAGTGTTAGGATTACAGTTGTGAGCCACCAACTGTCACCAGGGGTATCTTTTTTTCTTCATTTCCATAAACAACCCCAGAGAGGGGGGTTTGTGCAGTGCCCCTTTTAGAAGCTTGTTTCTAGTGAGATAAGAGCATCTGTTAATTTTGCACGTCTTTACAATAATCTCTCAGATCAATTCTCTGGGTGAGAACTTTGTAGCCATCAGCTCCCTGGGTATTCCAGCCTTTCTCTACCACTGCTGGCAAGCTCACTCCCTCTGCTGAAGAAGACCTTAGAGAGTCCAAGTACAGATGATAGTACCAGTGACTGGCTGCTGATGATTTCCGGTTTTCCTCTTCCTCTACCCATTTCTTTAATAGCAATCATCTCCAACGATCCACGCTTCTCTCAGTAGACACTTTTAGGAGCTGAGGATAGAGATCAACAACACAAGGAAGATCCCTGCCTTCATGAACTTGAACAAACAGAAACAAGAGAGAAAAAAATGTCAGCAGCATGGCTCCATGCAGAGACAAGGGACCTACTTTATACTGGCTGTCACAATGAGTGATAACCTGGAACTGATTGACACAGAATCACCCAGGCAGAGGGATGCTGTCACTCCCCAGCTGAAAACTGTTCAGTGGCTTCTTTGCATTTACATGAAATCAATTCCTTCAGGCTCAGAGTCACCTGGTGAGGTAAGTCCCTCATCTGCCTTTTTTCATCTTTATATTCTGTTACCTTGTTAGCTGACGATCAACAGACGTCCACCAGATGAAGGCTGCATTGAGCAAAATGGATAGATATTTAACACATGTGCAGACGGGTCTGGTTGGGTGCTATCCAACAGAAAGTGAGTCAAATGTGGAATTTTCTCCTAGGTAGATTAGGAAAGTAAATGAGGAGGCTGGAGAGATGGCTCAGCTGTTAAAGAGCACTCGCTGCTGTTCCAGAGGACAGTGTTTGGTTCCCAGCATTCACGTCAGGTGACTCACAGTTCTAACTCCAGGGCATCTGTTACCCTCTTCCGGCTTCCATGGGGCACACGTGGTACACACACATTTTAAAAATCTTTAAAAAGGGAAAGAAAATTAAACAGAAGTGTCCCAACATTTTGTTACTCAAAAATGTCACAAAGAATATTCACTTTAAAATAAGATTCATTAATTTTATTATTTTATGTGTAGGAGTATTTTGCCTGTATATGTACCATGTGTGTGCCTGGTGCCCTTGGAGGTCAGAGGAGGGTATTGGGTCCCCTGGGACTGGAGTTACAGATGGTCCTGACCTTGTGGGTGCTGGGGATCAGACCCCTGTCCTCTGTAAGAGCCACAAGCACTCTTAACTGCTGAGCCAACTCTCCAGCCCAACTTTGAATCACATAAAATTGAGATTTTTATTTATTTATTTTGAGATAGGGTCTCATGTAGACCAGGGTGTCCTCAAACTAGATATACTGTGGAGGATGACCTGGAGCTCCTGATCTAACAGCGTCGACCTGTCCAGTACTAGGATCACAGGCAAGTCCACCAGGTCCAGTGTATGTGCTGCTAGGAAATGGAACCCAGGACTTCTTAATGTTAAGCTAGCTGTCTATAGAGCTATATCCCTAGCCCCCAAACTAAGATGTTTTTTCCTCCCATTCTAAATCTAGTGTGTGTTTTACTTCTCAGTTCGGACTGACCACATTTCAAAAGTGATCAGCAGCTACAGGTGGCTAGTGGCTACCACCAACACCAGGCATCTCCTTCCCACCTTACCAGCTTTCAAAAAATCTTTAAATCTTATCTATTATGCATGTGCATAGTGTGTGTCAGCATCTATGAATAACGTGTGTGTACGTGTGTGTGTGTGTGTGTGTGTGTGTGTGTGTGTGTGTGTGTGTGTGTGTGTGTGTGTTAGTGAAAAGCCACGTGTGTGGAGGTCAGAGAACTTTCCGGACTTGATTCTCTCTTTCTACCATGGGTTCTAGGGACCAAACTCAGGTAGGGGGCTTTCACACACACACACACACACACACACACACACACACACACACCCCTCCGAGTCATCACAGCTTGTTCCTTACTAGGTTTTTTGAGACAGGGTGTCATCACAGCTTGTTCCTTACTAGGTTTTTTGAGACAGGGTGTCATGTAGCCCGGGCTAGCCACCAACTCCCTTTGTAGCCGACACTGGTCTTGACCTGGTCCCTCCAATCTCTACCTCCCAGGTGCTGCTGGCATTACAGGCGTGTGCCATCGGTCTGAGTGCACCACTTTATAGTCTTTTGCAGCCCTCGCGGGTATCTGCGTCGGACCCAGGAGCCTGGGAGGCTGCCCCAGCTCAGGCCCGGCCTTGGGGCCCGTCCCCCCACCCCACCCCCACCCCACCTCCGACAGCTCCCAAGCTCCAGTGGCAGTCGTGGCGGGGAGGAGCCTGCAGGCCCGGGGCTGGCGGGGACGCGCGGCGCGGGCTCCGCGGGCCATGGCGGACCTCACGGTGTGCGCGTTCCTCACCAAAGTGCTGTGTGCTCACGGCGGCCGCATGTTCCTGCAGGACCTGCGCGGCCACGTGGAGCTGTCGGAGGCGAAGCTGCGGGCGGTGCTGCGGCGCGCGGGCCCCGAGCGCTTCCTGCTGCAGGAGGTGGAGCTGCGCGACGGCCCGTGGGACCCGGAGGCCGAGGTGGCGGCGGGCGCGGGCGCGGGCGCGGGTGGCGGCGCCACGGCCTGCAGGGTGGTGGCCGTGTCCTCCGCGCGCCTCTGCGCCCGCTATCAACGCGGCGAGTGCCAGGCCTGCGACCAGCTGCACTTGTGTCGCCGTCACATGCTGGGCAAGTGCCCCCACCGCGACTGCTGGTGAGGGCTGGGGTCCTCGGTCCCCAGTGGGGCGGTGGGGGGATGCGGGCGGGCGGGACGCGCCCTCCGGATGCTGCTCGGCTAGCCGCGGGCGGGATGGGACAAAGGCCTTCGGCGCAGGCCGCTCCTGTGCTCCTCGTCGCCGAGGTGTGACATGGAATGTCCTCTCCACTGAAGTTTTTTAATCATCCCCCCCACCCCCAATTGCTGTCCCTGGCCCAGCATGCTAGGATGCGCCACAACACCAGCCAGGTTAAATTCGTTGTTGCGACTTTTGAGTTCACTTATGTCGAGTGCCACACTGAGGGGACATCCGAAGGCCCCATGGCCGGGGACCTTCTGTTCCCTTCCCTCCTTCCTTCGGTAATCACAGCCCATTAGGGATTAAAAGGCTGGTCTAGTCCAACCGCAGGAAACTGGTGGCCGGATGGGGTGAGGGCCTGGCGGCTACATAGTCCAAGTGCTGTCTTTATAGTGTTGCTGGACAATGAAGGGAGATCAGCAGCTGTTGATCTGAAGATCAAGTTTTAGTCCCTAAGGAACAGATGAGTAACGTGGGCAGGGTACCTACCCTAGGCTTTAGGTCAATCTACTCACTTAACAGGACCAAGTCGCCTCAAGCCTGATTTTTATCAGTGCTTGGGGAAATTCACTTGTAAGTTGGAAATGCCCTAAGGCAAAGAATTAGAGCTGCCAGCCTCCTCCCTCTTTGTGGCCTGGTCTTCTGACTGCTCTGAACACTTCTAGGTCTACCTGCGCCCTGTCCCATGATATCCACACGCCTATCAACATCCAAGTCATGAAAAACCGCGGCCTTTTTGGCCTCAATGAAGCCCAGCTTCGAATCCTGCTTTTGCAGAATGACCCCTGCCTTTTCCCAGAGGTGAGTCCGTGATGAGCCGCCAGCCTACCCACATTGTGGCAACTTTCCCACACTGATCCTCTAATCCTAGATGTTTTGTTTTGTTTGTTGAGATGGGATCTCACATAGCCCAGGCTGGCCGTGAACTTTGTATTAGCCGAGGCTGCTCTCCTGCCAATCCACCTCTAAGTGTTGAGTTTACAGGCCGCCGCCTCCATCACCACTTTAGGTGTTAATTTTAATTGCTTGGAAGCATTGTGATTTGGTTCCAGATACTTTGAAAGTACCCTTTTTTAAATGCTAGAATGGTAAAATTAGCACATTTGTGGGGCTGGAGAGACGGCTCAGTGGTTAATAGCACTGGCTGTTCTTCCAGAGGACCCAGGTTCAGTTCCCAGCACCTACAGGGCGGCTCCCAGCTGTCTGTAGCGTAGCTCCTTTTTCAGGGGATCCAACACCCCTAACACATAGACATGCAGACAAAACACCAATGCACATTTAAAAAATTAACACGTTTCTATTTATGTGAAGAATTTGTTAACCAAATAATAATCTCAAATCAAAATTTGAGACTATCAATAATTTTTTTTTTAATCTGGCATGATCTTTCTATTATGGACGTTGCTGTCAGAGGCAGGAGGCACATAGCTCCAGGATGTCCCCTTCTAATCTTTGAGGGACCTCAGCTCAGATAAAATCAGATCCCTGGCTTCAAGGCAGAAAAGAATTTTAGGGAGAGCTCATATGAAGTAGGGTTTATTGAGGGAGACCTGCTAGCCTCTTTTTCTCCCAGGGTAATCTTGAGGGAGAAGTGAGAAGTATGTAGATAGAAATATAGAGGAGAGAGGCAGCTAGAAACACAGGATAGCTTAGGAGGGCCTGGGTCAAAACCCACCAGCCCCTTCTGTTTCTACTAAAGGGCTTTTAAAGAAGTACCAAGGGGTGGAGCAAAAGACCTCCCCCCAGCACAGCCAAGTGCAGACCATCCCAGACACCTGGTGACCATGCACGTGGTCAAGCCGCCTTATTGCAGCCCTGCTGGGTAAAGCAAGCTCAGATCTCACTAGGAAACCTCTGTGGGCTCCCACAGTTTATTAATAGACTTTAAAAATTAGATATATTCACCAGCTGGTGATGGCACACACTTTTAATCCCAGTGCTCGGGAGGCAGAGGCAGGTGGATCTCTGAGTTCGAGGCCAGCCTGGTCTACAAAGAGTTCCAGGACAGGCAACACTACACAGAAAAACCCTGTCTTGAACCCCTCCACCCCCCTGACCCCTGCCAAAAACAAAAAGGATAAAAAGTAGATGAGTGTGGTGGTGAAAACCTGTAATTCTTCAAAAGCTAAAGCAGAAGGATTGAAAGTTAGGGCCAGCCTGGGCTATATACCAAGATCTTGACTTGAAAATGAAGCAAACCAAAAATCAAACCCAAACCAAGATAAAACAAAGATAGATTGTGGCAAGGACATTGAGAACTCTCATACATTGTTGGTAGGAATATAAATTAGCAATTAAACATTGTACAACCTAGTATGGAGGTTCCTCAAAAAACAAAAATAAGCTAGACTTGGTGACTTATTTGTATAATCCTGGCACTCAGATTAGGTAAAAGGATAACCACAGACCTTGTCTCTGAACAAAAAAGATAAAAACACAAGGGCCAGAGACGTAGCCCGGTTCCTAGAGTGCTTGCCCAGCATGGGTAAAGCCCTGAGTTCAATACCCAGCACGGCATAAAAACCAGCTTTGGAGCCACTTCTGATCCTCCTGCCTCTGTCTCTCTGACGTGATTACAGGGATGGGCCAGATGCCCTGTTTTATGCAGTGCTGAGGGTCAAACCCAGGACTCTATGCATGTTAGACAAGTTCTCTACAAGCACCATATTGGGCAGCCTACCTGAAACTTTGGCTGTAGAGGATCTGATGCCTTTGGCCTCTGTGAGCACCTGTACTCACAGACATATACCCCTACATAGACTCACACATATATACATAATTCTTTTTCTTTTCTTTTTTTTTAAAAGACAGGTGTGGTGGGATGCCCTGTAATCATAATGCTGGGGAGGAGGGAACAGGAGAACCCGGGGGCCTGCTGACCAGCCACCCTATCTGAATCAGCTCCAAGTTCCATGAGAGACCCTGTCTCAAAAAATAAAGTGGAGGGTAATTAAAGAAAGATTGCCAGTATTGACCTTTGGCCTGCACATGCATGTGCACACACATGTGCACACACATGCTCCCCTCCCCCAAAGATGCCATTAAACTTCTAATTTAGTTGAAGAAGGTATAGTTTGTTAGCTTAAAGATAACCGTGAGAACTCCTATCTCAAGTGTTGCCTCCTTCCTGCCTCAGGTCTGTTTGTTGTACAACAAAGGTGGCGATGTCCTTTATGGCTACTGCAACCTCAGGGACAAATGCAACAAGTTTCATGTGTGCAAATCCTTTGTCCGGGGCGAATGCACACTTCAGACCTGCAAGCGGTCCCACAAGCTCATTCACGCCACCACCCTGAAGTTGTTAGAGGACCAAGAACTGAGTGTTTCAAGTGTCGTCAACTTCCAGATAATCACCATCTACAAACATATGAAGCTGCACAAGATGCTGGAAGATAAAGGTAGGCAGGGAACCGTTAGTGAGGAGGTGTACTAAGGTTCTGTACTATGTGTGTGCACATGTGGGGTGGGGGTACCACAGGAGGCCAGAAGAGGGCAGCAGATCCCTTGGAGGTCTGTGAACCGCTTAATGAAGGTGCCGCACTCAGATCCTTGATTCCAGCAGCAAGTGCTTTTAGCCACTGAGCCATCTCTGTAGCCCTAGTTAACGTTTTATGGTATGGAAATATAATTCTAACCAAAGAAGAGGAGATTTTTGCCAAGGTAGAAAACATGCCCAAGTATTGGAATATGGTAGCTTCTGGGCAAACTGGGGGTCAAGAATTTGGTACAATCATCTTAGTAATTCAGCTGGGAATGTGGGAGGGAGACGGCAGATGAAGAGTAATGTACATGTGGTTTTCTTTTGTCAACTTGAACTAAAGTTTTCCTGTTTTCATTTTTAAGTAATTTTGACCACATTACAGGCAAAAGACTAGAAATAAAATAGCATGTCTCAGGAAGGGCTGGAGAGATGGCTGGGCTGTTTAGAGCCTTTGTTGCTCTTGCAGAGGACCCAGGTTCGGTCCTCACGACCATCCTAACTTCAGTTCTGTGGAATCTGACGCCCTCTTCTGACCGCAGCAGTCACTGCATGCATGTACATGTACACTTACATACATGCAGGCAAAACACTCATACATGTAAAATAAAAGCAGATGATTCTTTTTTTTTTTTTGAAGTTTGTCTTAGTCACTGTTCTATTGCTGTGAAGAGACACCATAACCAAGGGGACCCCTATGAAGAAAACATTTAATTGGGGTCTTGCTTATAGTTACAGAGGCTTAGTCCATTATCATCACTGCAGGGGACTTTGTGGCAGGCGCAGCAGCAGGCGTGGTTCTGGAGAAGTAGTTGAGAGCTACATCCTGATCCACAGGCAGAGAGAGAGAGAGAGAGAGAGAGAGAGAGAGAGAGAGAGAGAGAGAGAGAGAAGGAGAGATGGAGAGAGAGACTGGGCCCCCCAGCATGGGCTTTTGTTACCTCAAAGCCCACCCCCAGTGACACATTTCCTCCAACAAGGCCGCACCTCCTAATCTTCTAATCTTATCAAAGAGTTCTCTGCCTGATACATAAGTAGTCAAATACAGGATTGTAGGGGGTCATTCTCATTCAAATCAGCACAAAGCTGCACGGGGATCCACTTTATTGTAACTGAGCAAGGACTGATCTGGAGGTGGGCAAAATGGAATTAGCTTACTGTCTTTTTTCACTAAATTTAAGATCAGAAATATCTGCTGCTTAGTCTTTCTAACTGCTTATTTTTATTTATTTTTTGTTTTGATCCCCTCTACCCCATTCCCTCCCATGTTGCTCCCAACATAAAATTAAAGCAGAAAGCTCATCTCTCTTCTTCCTTTCAGACAGCACGACTTCTGCCGGGCACTCACAAGGCGTTGAGAAGCAAGGGGCCCCTGGGCCTGGGGCTGCAGAAGCCAGGCCTCTGGCCCCTGCCCCTGCTCAGTCGCCCAGGAAGCCTCAGTAAACCTTCAAGAGCATAGAGGAAGTGAGAAGCAGCTTGTCCATCTTGGAGGATCAGAAGCAAGAGCAGCTGAGATGGAGTCTGTAGTCATTCTCTTTCCTTACTTACTAGCATTGGCAACTTTAATACCTATCTCATCCCTGATTGGGAGAACCCAGGGTGGAAACGAAAATACACTTGCAGGTGAGGTTGGACCTGGAGCGGGCAAAGAGAGGGTAAAATTCTGAGCACAGAGGGGATCAGTCCAGGGCAAATCCTGAAGCTGTAGCCTCTGTCTGCGGTTCCCCCTTTCCAGCCATGGGATGGAGGGCAGCTTTCTGCTGCCTCTGTGTCCAGCTCACGTTTTCTAGACTCCATTCACACAGCTTCCATTGTAGATGTCACAGAGTTTTTACACACTGCGTATTACTTGGTATATACATAATCCCTTTTTACGCAGAATTGTTTATATAGCTTAATTACCTCCCTTATTCTGGAATATTTCAATAATCATAACAACATTTGAATATCTCATTTTGTATCAGATGTATTTGTGTCTCATTTTGTATTGAGTTTAAAAGCCATTTTATACCTTTGTTTGGCTTTTAAGTGCTAAACAATACTATCTTTTGATACAGATTTCTTTAAATATCTGTGTAGATGAGCGGCCTCCTCTGCCCCTGCATTCTGTGTGTCTTGATTTTGTGACTTTCCTATGTTGTATTTTGTTGGTGGGGCCCTCTGTGCTGTTTTCCATACTGTGTCCATGATACTCAACCACATGGGTCCATTCTCAATCGACATCACAGTTAATAATCTTTGGGCTCTCACCAGAGTTTTCTACCTCACCCCCAACCACTTCTCATCTCTTATTGAGCCGACCAGTGCTCTGTGGCTGTGTCTTGAAGGATGTGTAGTTCGCTCCTTCCTCCAGTTGTGTCTGTCCCTTCTGAGGATGGGGACAGGTCATCGAGAATGTGTGTGTGTGTCTGTGCGCGCGCGCTTTGCCAGTTTTCAAGGTCACTCCCACCTTCCTCCAGCTCCTCCACCCCCCCAATCATCGTACTGTTTTCATCGTGTGATTTGCAGATCTTTGTTGTGGCCATGTTCCCCAATGACGTTGTATAAAGAGAAGGGCTTGTGTTTCTTTCTGTAATATGACTTTTGAAAAACAGGGGCCACTCAGTGAGTTTCCATAACGACAAACTTACCTTAGAGAAACTTGTATCGTGAAGCCAATGAGAGGAGGGATGTAAAAAATGTCTTTCCAAATGAGAACTCGGTTTCCTCCTAACGGACAGTAAACTCATCAACTCAGGTCTTTGCACTTTGGTTGTCAATGACAGTGTTTTACATTCTTTCGTTTGAAATTCCTAGTTGTGACTTTTTTTCCTAGTGGTATTTGTTGTGTGTGTGTGTGATAGGATCAAACCCAGGGTCTTGCCTGCATGAGGCAAAGCCCGACATCTAAGTCCTGGGACTAAACTTTAAAAAGAAAGGCCAGTCAGTCACTGTAGTGTATGGTTTTAATCCCTGCAGTACAGGGGTAGAGGCAGGCAAGTCTCTGAGAGTTCAAGGCTACCCTGATTTACATAGTGAGTTCCAGGCTAGCCAGAGCTACATAATGAGACTCTGTCTCAAAAAGAAATTGCGTTTATTATTATTACTATTTATACTTTGTCGTTCTCCTGTATATATTTATTGTAAGCCATCTTAAATCCTTAATGGAATGGAATAGCTCAATGCACACCCTTTACATCAATAGACATGGTAGACTTTTACGTTGTTTTCTCACGTATATCACGATTATGCTCTTATATAGATGTTTATTGATTTGTAGTCATTGTTGCAACATTTTATTCAAGTCTATAATGTTCCATTTTAATTTTAGTTCTCTTGTAATTTAGTCTACAAAATTATCTTTTTGTATGTATGTGTGATACTGGGAATGGGCTCATGCGTTCATGAATGCGCTCATGCTGGACAAGTGCTCCACCACTGAGCTGTATCCTCAGCACTAAACTCCTCTTCTGTAACTGTTCCTGGACCAAGTCTGCCTGCTTACCCCCATGACAGGCAGATGAAGTTAAGAGATATGGTCCTGAGGCAAAGGGCTGATTTTATTTAAAAATAAACTTCTTAGAAAGGGAGGATAGGGGCTGTTACAGAGCCTGTCTTGCTGGGGAGCTAATTTGGGGTCAGTTTATAGACGTGGGTGATGGCTGACTTGGGCGCTCCCTCAAGTGGGTGGGCCAGGTAAGGCACACTCACTACAGTATCTTGAGGTGGTTTTCACTTATAGTCTCAGAAGCAGGTCAGTATTTCCTTGGGCTTTACATTTCATATTAGTTCCAGAGCACATAGCTGGAGGCCGAAGAGTTCAAGGCCACTGGGTGGGCCTTTAATCCCAACACACTGGGAGGCAGAGGCAGACAGATCTCTGAGTTCAAGGACAGCCTGGTCTACAGAGCGAGTTCTAGGACAGCCAGGACTATTACATGGAGAAACCCTGTCTCAGAAAAAAAAAAAAAAAAAAAAAATTCAAGGCCAGCTTTCATAACACAGTGAGTTAGAGGCTTGCCTGCCTGCTAGAAACCCTGTCTCAAAAACAAAACCAAAACCAAAAACCAAAACCAAAAACCAAAACCAAAATGGATGCCAGAATTTCAACCAACTTGACAATTTTGGCTTTTTTTTTTTTTTTTTTTGGCAGGGTCTTATGTCTCTGGTCTTGAATTCACTGTGTAGTTTACATTTTGGATCCTCCTGCCTCCACCTCCCGAGTGCTGACGTCACTGGTGTTTACTGCCAAGTTCCACTTATGTGGTGCTGGGGACTGAAGACAGGACTTCGTCATGCTAAATAAGCACCCTGCCAACTGAGGCACATCCCCAGACCCAGCCCTGGACTCGATCTTTAAATGATGTTGCCTCGTCTGTAAATACCATCCCTACTTCCCTCTGCCTGCCTCAAATTATTATAATCGTGAAGATACTCAGTAGCCCTTGCTGACCCCAGAGGGGTGGTTCCCGTACCTCCTGCATAGTGCTCCTTCACATTCCAGTGCTTTGGCTTTGGGCTAAAACATTATTTGTTCCTCATGGTAATTCTGACATGTAGACTTAGGCCATTTCTCGTCAAATGCTGAATTAGTTGTCAATCTATGCTGGTCTTCACTGGTTTTGTTGTTTGTTTTGTTTACTTTTCCTTTTTTTCCTCTTGTAGTCAGGCTCTCACTGTAGCCCTGGCTGGCCTGGAACTCATGTAGACCGGGAAGGCCCTAAACCCACAGAGATCCGCTGGGACTAACGGGGTGCACCACCACACTCAGCTCAGGTCCTTTTGAAAGACCCCCGAAGGTAGTCTTCCCTCTGGAGAGACCCTCGCCCAGAGATCACGCCGAGACCACAAGTCAGATGCAAACAGCAAGAGGCTTTATTCAGGAACACGGGTACCCGGGGCGACACAGTCCCTCGAGAGGCTCAAGAGACTGGCGCGCCGACGGGCTGGAGTGGAGGGTTTTTATAGGGTCGGGCAGCAGAAGGGCGGGTACAGAAGCAAGAAGCATGGTTTACAGGGTTCTGATTGGACGATTCGTATGAGGCCAGGTTCAAACTCAGGGCAGCTCGTGGTTTTTCCCCGAGCTCGACACGCCTGCTGACTTGGCTCTTATCTAGGGTACAAGTTGTTTTTCTGACCTTTTAGTTCCCTGTTCTGGGGCCAGGTGGCCGACCGCAGATACCCTGTTTGTTCCTGTGCCCATGTCCTCTAACTGAACTTTCCCCGTACTTTTCAGGCCTTGCTCAAAATGGCATTAGGCTAAGCAAGTATGCTGGGGCCTTTCATTCCCCCATTTTCTTATCTCAGGGAATGGAATCCTCCATTCATGGGGAAGAATAGGGATGTGGCTCCATTTCCACCTGGTTGAGTCGTTGGTATTGTTGGGTCAATACCAAGGTCTGAACAGTAGAAACGCGTTCCCTGATAAATTGGACAAGTCTGTTTAGGATACAGGGCCCGAGCGTCAGAAGGAGCAATAAAATCAGAAGGGGTCCCATAAGGGTGGAGATGAGGGTGGTGAGCCAGGGGGACCTTCTGAACCATCCTTCAAACCATCCCTGCTGTTTTTCAAAGAGTTTTTGTCTTTGTTCTAATCTCTTTCTTAATCTAGCCATGCTATCTCTCACCACCCCAGTATGATCCGCATAGAAGCAACATTCTTCCTCCTTAAGGGCGGCACATAACCCCCCCTCCTGCAGGAAGAGGAGGTCTAATCCCCTCCGGTTCTGCAGAACTACCTCAGACAGGGAGGTGAGTGACTTTTCCAAGGCACTCACGGATTCCTCCAGTGCCTGGATATCGGTATGCATGGCAACCTGGAGTTGTCTGAACTGGTTGGTTTCCATGAGGGCAGTGGTACCTGTGCCTATTCCGGCGGCGACTCCTCCCATAGTTAATCCACCTAGTATCAGGGCCAGGGTTAGCGAGACTGGCTCTCTTTTTATACGGGGGACCCCTGTTTCATATCGGGCATAGATATCTTCAGGTGCATGGTAGACTATCTTGGGGTACAGTTCTATGAGCACACAATAATCGGCCGTGTTGGCTAGTATTGAGGGGGAGAGGCATGGTGTAAGTCCAGTGCTACAGGCCCAGTAAGTCCCGTTGGGAGCCACGAGATAGTGGGGTCCTGGAACAAGTGCCTGGGTGCGATTACACAGGTGTTGGTGGGTGTAGGGTACTGTCCCCAGACATAGTCCTTGTCCTGACACCTCGGAGATTGTGAGCTTATGCTGAGGTGTCGAGGCACATCCTGACGGGGGTGAAGAAGAATTGGTGAAGCTTCCGACTACGGCCACCCCCTCATAATAGGGAGGTGTGGAGACTAGGCATAACCAGCACTCCTGAGTCCGATTTGGGTTGGTAACATTGAGGGCTGAGTAAGCGCCCTCTATAAGATTCAATAGCCGGTCTCCCGTACCGGGCCTGGGTGGCTGGAGGGTGACTGGGGTTACAGTAGCATTCGGAGCCGTGCTTGGGCGAATGGCCGAATTGGGTCGGGGGATAGCCCTCGGGGGTGCCGGAGTGGGTAAAGAGGGGCGCTTTTGGTCAGAGAGAACCTGGTTGGGACCTATAGAGGCGGAGGGCTCCGTGATTTTAAGCCTAATCGTAAACACGACTCCCTGGTCCCATCCCGTCATGTAAAGTCTAAGTCCCCATGTTCTACCTTTAATCCAGTCTTGTGTTATCTCCCTTCCCTTTTGAGTAAAAGATATATTCAGGGGGTTGCAGGTGAAATTTACACAGGGACCCCCCCCCCCTTCCAGTAAGCGTTATTTGTTCCTGACGTGACAGTTCCCCAACAACGTCCTTGGGTAAGGGGACGCCATGAGTGGCTTTCTCTTTGGGTAGTCCTTTTTACCCTAATGAGGTCCCAAGTGGATGAAGGCTTCCAATAGGTATTACCAGTTGTTTCACATCCCCATGCTTTACAGAAGTAACTTTCATAACCCCCACATTGTCTAATCATCTTTCTGTCCCTACCATCCCGGGGGCAGACGTAGAAGGATAGTTGTAATAGGGCTGCTGTGGTTTCAGGGTGACCACATCCGTATCTCCCGTCACTACATTTGCAAGTTCCCTTACCATCCTGACAGACGTCTGGTGCTCTGGGGTTCATGGGGTCAGTGGTAGGGATGTCCCAGTCCTCTGACCCTGCTACTAGTTGGCAGAGATCTGGATGCAAGTTAGGCCACCATGTAAAGGGGGTGTGAAGGGCGGTCGTTTGCCAGACCGTCTCCCCAGTTTGTGAGATAACCTGCCAAGTGAGCCTCTTAACTAGGTGCGGGCTCTCTGCCACCCTAGTCCCCTGGGGGTAGGCAGAGATTAAGAGGAGGGGGAGGAAGAGGAGCCGCGGGCCAACCTTATTTTTAGGGGGTTTCGTGTGCGGCGCACTGTCCATGTTGACTTTCTGGATCCTGCTGGGTCGGGTTCCCTGGCAGCCTTCACATGAGAGGCGTGGATCCATGCAGCAATCCCGTTGACCTTGAGTGCAGTGGGGGTGGTCAGCAAGACAGTGTAGGGCCCCTTCCACCGTGGTTCCAGATTCTTGGTCTGGTGTCGTCGGACCCAAACGGAGTCCCCGATCTGGAAGGGGTGGGGCACCACCGGCTTGTCTAGCTGCTCCTGATAAGCCTTGGCCAGGGGCTTCCAGATCTCCCTCTGCACCAGTTGGAGGGCTTGAAGATGTGCCTCTAAAGTAGGGGTGGTGGCAAAAGATGAAATATCAGGATGGAGAAAGTTTACAACAGGAGGTGGGGCCCCATACATGATCTCAAAA